TGTTAGACCACTGATTCTCAACTGAGAGTGCCAGATCCTTTGAAGTAAACTGCAGGTACCCTTGTGTGTAAGAGAAGCCAGGTCTGAGGTGGTAAGTTGATACATGCAGACTCAGGTTTTTTTAAACTGGGTGCCATTCAATTTGAAAAAGTTATGCAGGGGTGCCTCAAGTCCAGTGAGGGGTATGTTGAGTTCAATGAGGTTGGGAACCACTGCTTTAGACTGATTGATAATTAGGTGTAAAGTATTTAAGTTTTTGCATTTGGTAGGAGAGCCAGTACCAGTCTCTGTCTTCCCTACTACACAACTTATTTCAGAAATAAAATGTCAGTCTTCTGGTGTACTTTAAAATCTGTTCTACATTCATCAGTGTAAACAGATTAACATGCATGCTTTCATATTGGCAGACATTTCACAGGAATGTGCACCTTTACTTTTAAGTAAGCACTGAAATACATACCAAAATTAGTATGGACATTGCCAACACCTCTCTGAATTATTCTGAAGTCTTCACAGTGAGAGTTACTCCTTTCCTTAGGGCAGGGGTGTCATACTTGCCTGGCCCCATGGGCACAGAACCAATCCACGGGCTGGATGAACAGCGTGGCCATAACCACAAGTGCGTGGACATTTGGTTCCCCAGGGACAACTAGCGACAGCACACTTTGTGGCACCGCCGCTTCTCCCCAGGGAATGCCTATGCCATGTGCCCTCTGGTGCATTGCAAGTTACGCTGTGTGGGCTAAGGGTGGCTGGGGCTAGCATTGGGATGGCCCCAGCAGCCTTACCTGGGGACCTCCCAGGGCTGTAGCACCAGTGATCCTGCACACAGCCTGGCTGGCAGCCAGAGTATGGCTCTGGCTGGCCAGGCTCTGGTTCTGAGCAGCATGGATATCCCTTGCAGCGCAGAAAACTGCATGTGTGCAGTATGTGATGCTGCAGAAGCGTCTGCAGCACCACATGCTGTATGGCCACACTAATCTGGATGCAGCCCCTGGAGCCAGCCCCACAGGCCAGATTGGGCCCACAGACTTCATTCCCACCTTCCTTCCCCTCTGCCCGCACATGCCAGATTCAGTAGTTGCTTTGGCCAGTCCAGGACAGTGCCACATACAGCACAGGTCCTAGACCACCTCTGGCTCTGCAAACTCTCTTTGACACTATAGTTTTAGGGTAATGGTTCCTACAGTGGTGCACAGAACATTACCTCCTCACATGATGTTACTCTCACAGCGTTGCCAACTCTCATGATATTTAGTGTTGTTCTTAAAGTCTGCAGTTCAGGAAACTTAGCTCTTTATTTATATATATGTAAAAGAAAGAGCTAAGTTTTTCATTCCTGAAGTGTAGACTTTAAGAACAACGCCAAACATCACGAGAGTTGGCAATACTGCTCTTATTTCCAGTTCAGGGCTTGAAACAACCCTTAAAACTATTCTGAAATGGTAAAAATCCTTGTTGTTAAGTTCTCTATATTACGACTACAATAAATCAGGTTTTAGAGCACATTGATAAACCCACAGGCAACTCATAGGGGAGGCACAGAGGGGCATGTGTGCCCGGCCCCCCCCTCGAGATCTGATGCCACCAGCTTCTGTGGGCAGTTGCTGGTCACCATCTGTCCCCACCCTTGCCGCTGCCAGCATGTGCGGACAGTCCTGGCTCACCGCCGCTGGAGGCAGACCCCGCTCACCATCGATGCTATGGCCTACAAATGGTGCCTCCCATCAGTCTCGGGAGGCACAAGTCATTCATGGATAAACCCCAAATAGTAACAAGTTACTAGGCCTAATAGTATTCTCCCAAGTGCTTTGAAGGAACTGAGCTGTGGAACACTGGAACTGTTGGCGATAGTGTGTACACTATCACATTGTAACACCAGTTTTTAAAAAGGACTCCTGGGTGATCCAAGAAAGTGGAACAATGCATCTAACTTGTGTTCTTGGCTAATTAGTAGAATTTCTAATACCAATTAATGTAATAGCTGTGTGGATAAGTGTAACATTCTAGGGAAGAGTTGACAGGGTTCTTGTAAAGAGTAACTATGTCAGGACACCCCTTCCCCCCCCCCCCCCAAATCTATGACAGTTGACAAATGGATGTGTGGCAGTAGAGGGATTGCTCTACTGCTGCCCTACTTGCACACTCTTCTAAAACCTCTACTCTGCCCTTATCAAAGCCAGGATACTAACCGTGATCTGACCCAGCATGGCAGTTTTCATTTATTATTTTGGAGTATGGAAAAAGCCTAAATATGTAATGTAGCCTAAAGCCCCAGACACCAGGCTTCACAACCAGGGGGTTTTGTAGTGGTGCTTAAGGGCCACCGGTCTTTTCTTTTTGGTTGTGCTGATTCTTGCTGCCTCATTTGCAACCATGTTCCCAGGTGGGGGCGGGTCCATTCCCTTTGGAGCCTTTGCCTGGCGCTATCTCCCTAAGAAATTGTGTAGACACAGACAGATTGGGGGTGAGGGGGCTTACACTGATGCACTTGCACCCCCACAAAATTTAAAACCAACCTTCTGGCAGTGGTAGCAGCATTTCTAGTCGGGCAGGGCTGAGGGAGTCAATTGACTTCCTAGCTCATTATAATCTACCTGTTTTTTTCTAAACCATTTATTCCACAGGTGTTAACAACACTCTCTTTTTTTTTAATGTTGTTGATATTCCACCAATCATAGTTTCATAATTTCTAGGGTCGGAAGGGACCTG